CTGTGTTGGAAGAAGTGCAGCCAGAGTGCTCCTTGGAGGCCAGGATGGCCAAACTTTGTCTCTCATACTTCAGACACATTGTCAGGAGGGGCCAGTCACTGGAGAAAAATATCATGTTTGGTAAGGTGGAGGGTCAGAGAAGGAGAGGAAGACCCCCAGCGAGACGGATTGGCCAAGTGGCAGCATCAGTGGGCTCAAGCATAGCAACAGTAGTGAGGTATTGTTTCGTTCTGTTGTGCATAGGGTCGCAATGAGCTGGTACCGCCTCGATGGAACCTAACAACAACAACAATTGCGTACTTGTCTGACAGTTAGTTGTACTGTGCTGGCTTGTGTTTTGCTGTGATGCGGAAGCTCCACCACTGTGCTTAGCCCAGTTAAGGTTTTAGTGGAGCCTCCAGACTAAGACAGACTAGGAAGAAGAAGAGGTGGACCACTTCTGAATAGTTAGCCACCGAAAACCTCTTGAATAGCAATGGGACATTGTCAGATATAGAGCCAGAGGAAGAGCCCCTCAAGTTAGAAGGCACTCAAAATACGACTGGGGAAGAGTTCCCTCCTCAAAGTAAAGTTGACATTTCAGAATTGGATGGAGTAAAGTTTTCAGGACCTTCGTTTGCTGATGGGGCACAGTCAAAATAAGAAGAAACAGCTGCAAACATTCATTAATAATTAGAAAATGGAATGTACAAAGTATGAATCTAGGAGAATTAGAAGTTGTCAGAAATGAAATGGAATGCATAAAGACATTGTTGTTGTTAAGTGTCATTGATTCAGTACAGACTCATAGCGACCCTGTATAGGGTTTCCCAGGAGCGGCTGGTGAGCTTGAACTGCCAATCTTGCACTAACAGGCCAGCACACTAACCCACAGCACCACACCAGGCCTCCTCTGAAGGCATTAGTGAGCTGATATCGACTGGTATTGGACATTTTGATTCAGACAATCACGTGGTTTATTATACTGGGAATGATAAATTGATGAGGAATAACATCACATTTATTATCAGAAAGCGCATTCTAAGATCTATCTTGAAGTACAATGCTGAGTGAGATAGGGTAATATCCATAAGCCTACAAGGAAGACCAGTTAATACCACTATTATTCAAAAACACCCAACAATCACTAAAACCAGTGATGATGAAATTGAAGAATTCTACCAACTTCTTCAGCCTGAAATTGATCAAACATGACGACACGATGCATTGATAATTACTAGTGATTGAACGTGAAATTTGGAAACAAAGAGGAAGGATCAGTAGTTGGAAAATATGGGCTTGGTGATAGAAATAATGCCAGAGATCACATGATAGAATTTTGTAAGACCAACTACTTCTTTATTGCAAATACCTTTTTCAGCAACATAAAATGCAAACTATACACGTGGATCTCACCAGATGGAATACACAGAAGTCAAATTACTGCATCTATGGGAAGAGACAGTGGAGAAACTCAATGCCATCAGCCAAAACAAGACCAGGGGCTGATGGTGGAGCAGACCATCAATTGCTCAAATGCAAGTTCAAAATACTAAAACAAGTCCACGACAATGAAAACAGTACGTTGATATATCCTACCTGGATTTAGAAACCATCTTAAGAACAGATTTGATGAATTAGACACTAATGACTAAAAATGAGAAGAGTTGTGGGATGGCATCAAGAACATCACACATGAAGAAAGAAAAAAAACCCCAAAAGGGTATAAAAAAATTAAAGCAACTGGAAATGAGGAAATCAACGAGCTGAGCAGAAAATTGTAAAAAGCAACTGAAGAAGACAAAGTATTATAATGAAATCTGGAAAGACCTGGAGTTAGAAAATCTCTAAAGGGAAGAATGCACTCAGCATTTCTCAAGCTGAATGAAATGAAGAGAACCTTCAAGTCTCAAGTTGCCATATTGAAAGATTTCATTGGCAAAATATTGAATGATCCTGGAAGCATCCATACAACATGGGAGGAATTCAGTCTACCAATATGACTGGTCAGTGATCGCCCATTTCAAGAGGTACCACATGACCAAGAATCGATGGTATTGAAGAAAGAAGTCCAAGCTGCCCTGAAGGCATTGATGAAAAACAAGGATCCAGGAATCAATCGATTATCAATTGAAATGTTTCAACAAACTGATGCATACCTGGAGGTGCTTCTCATCTATGCCGAGAAATTTGGCAGATAACTACCACCAGGGTAAACAATTGAACGAGATCCATTATTTGTGCCTATGCCACAAACAGGTGACCCAATGGAATGCAAAAATCATCCTACAAGATCATTTTGCTGAAGATAATTCAGAAACAGTTGCAGCACTACATTGACAGGGAGCTGCCAGAAATCCAATCCGGATTCAGAAATAATGAGGGATATCATCACTTGGGTCTTGGCTGAAAGCAGAGAATACCAGAAAGACGTTTACTTGTGCTTTATTGACTATGCAAAGGTATTCGACTGTGGATACCCTTGTGGTTCAAACTGACCCTGTGGTCCAGTACATTATGCTGCAGCACCACACCAGGACTCCTTTAAACGCACTTTTGTTGTTGTTAAGTGCTGTCGAGTTGGTTCCAACTCATAGCGACCCCGTGTAGCGTTTCCAAGGAGCAGCTGGTGGGTTTGAACTGCCAACCTTGTGGTTTGAAGTCAGTGTTGATCCTACAGCGCTACACCAGGAGTCCTTATATGCACTAGGAAACCAACAAATTCATGCGACTTTCTTTATTGCAATATTTGCAGTGATCTGGAATAGGGCATGTCTGTATATCTGTCTGTGTATCTGTCTGTGTATCTATATTTCTATCTTTGTGTATGCTTTTTTTTTGTGTGTGTGTGTGTGTATGTATTTTTGTTGTTAAGTGCCATTGAGTTGGTTCTGACTCAAAGCAACCCTCGATAGGCTTTCAGAGGAGCAGCTGGTGGGTTTGAGCTGCCCCCAGTGCTTATCCTATAGTGCCACACCAAGACGCCAATCTACTAGACAGCTATATCTACTAGACATCTGATATCTGACATCTATGCATCTCTCTCCCTACCTACCTAACCATCCCCCATCCCTCCCTATCCATCCCCTATCTGTCAGCACTCACACAGACACAACCCAAGTTGTCAAATGTCATGGAATCTGAAAAGGACTTTCTAACACCAGAGAGGACTCCTGGTGTGGCGCTGTGGGTTAATGTGCTGGATAGTAAAGTCGTTTGTACTGCAAGGTTGGAGGTTCAAGCTCACCAGCTGTTCCTCAGAAACCCTATATGGAGTCGCTATGGGTTGGAACATCAACAACACCAGAGACCAAATACAGAACCCTTCTCTGCTCCATCCGTGTCAACCTGACCCAAGGGCAACCCCGAGAGCTCTGGGTCCTCTTCCCCTGGGTGAGACATGCAGGAGGCAGCCCGGTGTCTTCAATTAAAAGAGGGCTCTGGGGAACCAGACTTGAGTTCCAGTCTCCTCCCTGGAACCCCAGGGGCAGGCTGGATCCTCCTTATTGTCTTACTATAACACAGCTAGCAGTGCGCCCCCCCCTCCCCCTCTGAGTCCATCCTTAGGTCCCGCCTCCCCTCAGGGGCTCCATAGGGGGCTGCCCACCAGTCCACTGGGCCTCTGCATCCATGTGGTCTCTCTCGAGCCCCACTGTGTCTAAACTTGTCCCCTGACCCTGTAGAGGGGCCTGGCTCTGGGGTACAGGCAGGTTGGGGGCTGGGGGCTACAGAAATGCAGTTTAGCTACACCCTGGGACTCCTCCACTCCACCCCACCCTGGCTACAACTTCCCACCAAGCAGACACAACTACTTCCCATGGGCATCATACACGAGGGGCTGGCACTCACCCATGTAGCCAACGGTGCCCACTCGACCTCGAATCAGGTCTCCCTCGGGGATCTTCACAGCTAGGCCCAGGTCGGAGATCCGAATGTGACCTGCAGAGAGAGAATCATCAGTGGGGTCCCTGGAAGGGTCCTGTGGATGTTTGATCCCTTCCGGGCCCAGACTTGCTGTGTGATACTGGGCCAGGTACTGGGCCTCTCTGAGCCCTGAGGTCTTCATCAGTCCCATGGAGACCAGGATGCTAATTGACCTTCTCAGGGTGATTGCAGGACCTTCGAGAGCCCAGCTGTTGGAGGGTGTGGGCAAGCCACTATTTCTAGGAGGCCCAGAGGGACACACAGACTCAGCTGGATGTTGGTCGACCTGCCTTGTACAATGTCTTAATGGGCTTCTTGAAGCTGAGGTTACACTGCAGGAGTCTTGGCCCAATTCTGGAATTGCTTCATGGGAAACATGTGAGGCCCTCATGACACGTTGCTTAAAAGGGGAAAAGCCACCAAGCATTTGGGAAGCAGCTCTCTGCCCACCATGCTGGTCTATGGTGTCTGATTAGTTCTTCCCTTTGGAAGCCAAAAAAAAAAGGCAACAGCTAGGTCTGGTGGGGGTAGGGGGTGGAATTGGAGCTCACTCATAGTCTGGAGAAAGCTGATGTCAGAGAAGTGATGAGGGGAACACATCATATAGTGATGAGGGGAACACATCACTATATGAGTGCTGAGCTGGGGTCATGCTACCTCGGGCCCTTTTGCTCTCTGCTGTGGGTACTAGGACCCCTGCTAGTCAGGACCCCACAGTATGGATTTCCCACTCAGCGGGTCCCTGATAAAGGCCACGAAGAGAAGGATGAGATCTGGGGCAGGGGGACATCATTGGTGGTCTGCTTCTGAGACCAGAAGGGTGTAAGGATCCGTGTGGGCTTGGGGCTCGCCAAAGGGGGGCAGCAGGCCCTGCTTCTTCACACGGGAGCATCACCCCAAAACCTCTTGGGTCACTACCATCTGCCTCTCTCTGCCCCTCTTCTCTCAACTCCAGCTGGCCTGACATCTGGGACATTAATGGGGAGGAGACCTGGCCGCTGATATTAACAGACTCCATTGGTAGGTTGGATCCTCTGGGCCTCAGCCTTGTCATGTGTAAAATGGACACAGCCAGAGAAGCCCAGTCCTTTTGGGGAACATGGAGACCTAGTCGGATAAAAGATGTGCAAACCATTCCCAGGGGTGAGAGACTAAAGAGCCGGAAGGGTTATTGTGACGGCTGCTGTTAACCACACCAGTCCCACCCTGCCTCGGAGACAATAATAATACTTCATCAATGCTAATGCCTGACACTTGGGTAGTTGGCCACAGTTGAAAACCAATTTCCCCTCAAATGATCTTACAGGGGTCTCAGCACCCTGCCTCCAACCCTTGGAAGCAGGCAGGGCATGGCCATTAGTTCCATTTTACAAACAATGAAGATGAGGCACGGGGGAGTTAAGTCTCCAGAAGTTAAGCGATTTATCCAACTGTGCTGAAGTCATGGTCAACGCCTCCCTCTTAGCTAGTCCACGCTTTCTCCAGACCCACTCTCCTCCCCAGAGACTGGGACTGAGGAAAGGGGGCTTACACAGCCCCTCCCACGTCCCATGGCACCCACCCCATGAGTCTCTGGGGCACTTTATGTCTATGGGATGTGACGCTTGCCTTAGCTCTGTTGTTGTTAAGTGCCGTGGAGTCGATTCCGACTCATAGCGACCCTGTTTCCGAGACTGTAAATCTTTACGGGAGCAGAAAGCCTCATCTTTCTTCCGCAAAGCGGCTCGTAGTTTCAAACTGCTGACCTTAAGGTTGGCAGCCCGATTTGTAACCACTACACTACCAGAGCTCCTTTGCCTCTATATAGAGCAGAGAAAAGATCTCTCGCACGGCTCCTGGACTTACCGTAGTCGTCTAGCAGAATATTTTCAGGTTTCAGATCTCTGAAAGGGAAAGATAACAAGCATCTTAGTGTGAGCATTCTGGTGTTTGGGGTGCCAACCAGGCCTGAGTGGCCAGTGGACAGATAGTTCATTCTCACTTTTTGGCTCAGGTTGTCTGGTCTCTCTCCGAGTCAAGACAAGAGTTGCTATTTCTCCTTCCAGTAAACTGCTGAACTGATTCTGCTATTTGCCCAAAGCAGCTTCCCAGCCCTGGAGAAAAACTGGGCTAGTAAAGGCCAGTCTGGGCAGCAGCCCCACGTCCCCAGGTGGCACGCGGTTTGCAATGGCTGCTGACTGAAAGATTGTCTGTTCAGACCCACTCATGGCTCCATGTGAGGAAGTCCTGGCTATCTGCTTTCATAAAGATGACCCCACAGAGCACGTCTACTTTGTAGCACTGCCAAGCATTGAAACTGAACCCACAGCAATGGGCTTGGTGTGTTGGCATCAGCCTACAACAGACGGCCGCCAGGGTTGAGGAAACGTCTTCCTTCTGTGTTGACAGCCCTCTGGAGAACTGGGAAGACCCTGAAGTTTCAGGATGTCCAGGGGTGGGCCTGGGAATGATCGACCCCAAAACCACTGCCGACAAACTCATCCCGACTCACAGCGACCCTACAGAACAGAGTAGAGCTGCCCCATAGTGTTTCTAACTCTGTGCATCTTTACAGGAGACTGCCACAATTTTCTCCCCTGGAGTGGCTGCTGGGTTATGGCAGCAGCGCTAACGCTTACCTCACTGCGCGACCAGGGCCTCTTTTAATGGGAATGAAGGAAGAGAATGATGGAAAACAAGACATCAGTTCTAAAATTAAGAGCCAGAGGAAAGAGGGGCAGAGACTTATTAAGGGAAGAGGATGGCAAACTCCCAGGAGAAAGATGGGGACCCCAGGAGATTGGCACACCTCCAATGCCAGCTGTAACCTGGGAGAAAGCGCAGCCGGAAGGCACCCTGGAAGTTTCCTCCCTCTGATGTGGTGCCTCCATCCCAGGGTGGGAAGTGGTGGAAGTGTTGGGCTTTAGGAAAAGTCTTCTCTGTGATGGGGGAGGGTGTGTGCCATTCATAACTCCACTGGGCAGAGGCGCACATCTGGACGCAGGCTCCAGTTCCCAACCAAGTGGCTTTGTTTATTTAACTGATGGCAGCTGTCCTCACAGGGAGTGGCCAACATCCCCAAACCTAGTAAGGCAGCCTGGCAGAGTCATAATTGGTGTTTGTGTGCAGTTATTTATTACAAAATACTTTTGTTGTTGTTGATATTTAAGCTGCATTCCTTTGATGTGCTAACAATTCCAAATAAGGACAAGAGCTATCATCTCAACAGGCCAGCGGCCACCCGGTTGGAAGGACAGCTCACTAGTGGGCACTGGACAGAGCCCAAACCCCTGGGGAGGCCACAGCGAGTTGTCAGGACCATGAGGAGGTACTCTGGTTCCTTTTTCCCCAGAAGAAGAGTTTCTGGGGCTTGGAGGACCTTTTTAAAATGCAATCAAATGCAAGAATCTGTCCTCACAACCCTCGGGGAACTATTTCTAACTTTCTTTTCACTTGAATGAAACTAAAGTAAAAACATAACAGGGGTGATGATGTGTGTGGAGGGAGGAGATGCCACTGAGAGTGTTGTTTCTTATTCTCAGAAATTTCTTGATTCCCTAAAACCTTTACCAAGAGCTCCAGAGCAAAGGCTTCAAACTGGGGTTCACAGGGGTCTTTCCAGCAGGGCCCAGGGGCAGGCAGCGTGAAGGTATGAATTTCTAGATCCTTAACATCGGAATGTTCTACCTCAGAGCCTTTTGGGATCTCTTTCCCACCCTCCCTTTCTCAATAGTGCTCCGGATTTATTAAGAAAAATAGTCCCGTCTTGAGTATTAGTAGTACAATGTCAAGCCCCTAAGGCTTCAAATAATCAATTAGACATAGGATTTACTACTAGTAACTGTGGAGTCCTGGTGTGGTGCTGTGGGTTAGTGCGCTGGACTGGAAAGTCGGCTTGAACTGCAAGGCTGGAGATTCAAGCTCACCAGCTGCTCCTTGGAAACCCTATTCAGGGTTGCTATGGGTCAGAACTAACTCAATGGTCCTTAACAACAACTAGTAACTATATGAGAGTCCTGGTGTGGCACTGTAGGATAAGTACTGGACAGCTAACCACATGGCTGGCAGTTCAAGCCCACCAGCTGCTCCTTGGAAACCACATACAGGGTCAATGTGAGTCAGAACCGACTCAATGGCACTTAACAACAACAACATTAATAACTATATCGGAGTCCTGGTGTGGCGCTGTAGGATAAGCACTGGATGGCTAATCTCACAGGGTTGGTGGTTCAAAACCACCAGTTGCTCTTTAGACACCTTATACTGAACCGACTCAATGGCACTTAACAACAATAGTTAGTAACAATGGCAACTCACAAAAAAATTACTTTACCATTTAGAGCCTTATAATCAAAGGAAAATTTAAAAATATATTGTATATATCTATCTATATAGCTCTGGTAGCGTAGTGGTTACGAATCGGGCTGCGAACCACAAGATCAGCAGTTAGAAACTACCAGCTGTTCCTCGGGAGAAAGATGAGGCTTCCTACTCCTGTAAAGATTTACAGCCTTGGAAACCCTGTTCAGGGTCGCTATGGGTCGGAACCAACTCAACGGCACTTAACAACAACAACAACAATATATCTATCTACCTATCTACCTGTCTTGTATATATATCTTGTATATATCTACCTACCTATTGACCTATCTCTGCCATCCACCTGTCAGTTTGGTGTACTGTGGTGGCTTGTGTGTTGCTATGACAGCATCACCTATGGGGACAGTGGAGTGACCAGGCTAAGGCAGACTGGCAAGAGGCCTGGGGATCTCCTTCTGAACAAGCAGCCACTGAAAACCCTATGGAGCATAGGTGGACTTTGATTCAATAGCAGCTGGGTTTGGGCATCTTTAAAAGTGTGATGTGATTACTCAGTTTCAAAATATTAATGTTTACTGCTATTTAAATATATGATGAAATGCACAGTTTCAAAACATTCTTGGAGGAGGGCTATGAGAAAAGTTTGAAGGCCCTTGTTCACGGACTCTAGATATTTGGTCCTGCAAAGTCCAGGTCCCATGGGACAGAGGACAGTGGGGAGAGAGAGTGAAGGGGCCAGAGCAGGGAGGGAACGCTGTGGGGTGGGGCCGAGCTGCTTGTGGCGGTGATTGCAGACCATCGCCACCAGCTCCAATGAGCTTTCCCTCTCGGTGGGAGGGCACGGTGGAAAGGGGCCTGCCTCATCAACACCCTAGCATATTCTTGTCTTCCCCAAAGAACACTAGCTGGAGAGAGACCCACCTCCCTTGTTTGGTAAGAGTTGTTGTCTGTCCAACATGTGGACCTTCAACAGTGATGACCAGACCTTGAGTCCTGGGGTGAGGACGACTATCGACACAGGGTGGGAGGGTGCAGCCCACCCATTCAGAGTCCGATAAGTGGATGAGTGCCACTCACCTGTAGACCGTGTTCTCCCGGTGAAGGTCCTCCAAGCCACACAGGATCTCTGCTGCGTAAAATAAAGCTCGTTCCTCTTCGAAGCCAGGGTTGCCCATGTTGTAGATGTGGAACTTCAGGTCACCCCCATTCATGATGGTCAGAACCAGGCACAGAGCGTCCTTGGTCTCATAGGCATAAGCCAGGTTGACCTGGGAGTACAAGAGCATCACCCAGTGAGGCTTAGGTGACCACCACCCCACTTCTTCTTGTCATCCTTAAAGCTAGGGCAGGGGACCACAGCAATGCCATGTCGTTCCCCTGAAGCCAGCTGGCTTTATGGTGACCCTGCCTGTTATTCCTTTTGGGCAATGAAGGAGGATGCATACCTAGGCTCTTCCAAATCAGAGGTTACAGGTGAGGCAAAGGGGGTGGAGGCAGGGCACTGCCTGTACTTTCAGTGATTATAGCGGGATGAGGGCTGAGTTTTTGCACTATGTGCATCATCAGCTGGTTAAAACTGTATGTTGCCTTGTTGGTTGGTCACGACAAGCACAATTCGGTTGCCCTCAGGTGGGCGGGGACTCCTCATTGTGGGGTGAGTGGAGGTGGGGTGAGGAAGGGCCTTTGTTATATTCAGTTACTGAGATTGGGGGCTGATTTGTTACAGTAACAGCCTTACCTGCCTGGACCATCACAACATACGCAACCAATATGGCGCCTCACTAGGGCACTGACACGCAGTTTCTCACCACAATGACACTAGGTCAGAGGATCTAGGGAAACCAGAGCTCCTTGGGTTTGCCCACCAAGGGATTTACAAGGTGGTTGTGGAGGGCAGAGGCCTTGGTCTCACACACAGAAAGATGCTCTGGTGATAGGACAAAGGCAGCCTGAATTGACCACCAGGTGCCTTCCCATGAGGGATTTGTCTGGTGGGCTTCCTGTAGCATCCTCACTAGCATTCTGGGGGGCGGTGGGAGCTGGGCATACTGGCTATTAGGGATTAAACTGTCATCTCAAAATAAGGTGGAAATTCTAAGTTGCAGATGCAGTCCTGCAGGGAAATAGAACCTTCTTTGTCCTGTTAATTTGATCAATCTAAGTACAGTGGTGTTCCATAGAGTCAGTTCTGACTCATATTGTTGTTGTGAAGTGCTGTTGAGTCGGTTCCAACCCATAGTGACCCTGTATAGGGTTTCCAAGGAGCAGCTAGTGAGCTTGAACCACTGACTGATAGAGACCCTGTATAATTCTATCTCATGGATACAGTCCTATGTTCATTTGATCGCTCTAAGTATGGAGGTGGTGGGGTGTGCTGTGGAGTTAGTTCTGACTTATAGCGACCCTGTATAGGATTTCTGAGGCTGTAAATCTTTATGGGAGCAGAAAGTCTCATCTTTCTCACTAAGAGTAGCTGACAGATTCAAACTACTGATCCACGGTTAGCAGCTCAGCTTGTAATCCACTATGCTACCAGAGCTCCTTAAGCTAAGTTTTGTTGTTGTTAAGTGCCATTGAATCAGTTCTGACTCTTAGTGACCCGGAGTAGGGTTTCCAAGGAGCAGTTGGTGGGATTGAACTGCCGACCTTGTGGTTCACAGTCCAGTGCTGATCCTACAGCTCCACACCCGGAGTCAAAACTCTAAGTTGTTGTTAAGTGCCAATGAGTTGGTTCTGATTCATAGAGACCCTATATAGGTTTTCTGAGTGGCTGGTGAGTTTGAACCGCCAATCTTGTGGTTTGAAATGACCAACTTTACAGTCCAGCACATTATCCCAAAGTGCCACACCAGGATCCTGGTGGTGGTTATGTGCCATAGAGTCGGTTCTGACTCATAGCGACCCTGTACAGGTTTTCCGAGGCTGTAAATCTTTAGGGAAGCTGAAAACCTCATCTTTCTCCCGCGGAACGGCTGGCAGTTTCGAACTGCTGACCTTGCGGTTCGCAGCCTGATCCTTAACCACTATGCTATCAGGACTCCTAGTGGGTTCTAAATCTAATCACTTCTGAGCTCTTAAAGAAGCAGATTAGACAGAGAAGCTCCCCACAGAAAGACACCACGTGAGAACTGTGTACTAGCCAAGGAACCAAGAAACACCCAGGACAAGTGACAAGGAAGGAATCTGCAAGGCAGAGACCCTGATTTGGATACCGAGCCTTCAGAAGTGTGAGAAAACAAATGCCTGTCCTTTAAAGCAATCCACTCATCTTCACCTGGAGCAACAGAGGAAGGAGAGCCAAGAGAAGGAGGAGGGAATGGAATGTGTGGAAAATTGTCACCAGGAACAACCGCCTCCTTTGTCATGAAACCAGAACTGGATAGTGCCCGGCTATCATCATCGAACATTTTGATAAAAAATTCTACGTTGTTGTTGTTAAGTATGTTGAGTCGGCTCCAACTCACACACAAATCTTTATGTAGAGGGGAAAATACAGAACAGAATTTCAAAGTCTCATGGACTCCCGACTTTCTGGAGCAAGATAAGTCTTTCTGCTCCCGTAAAGATTTACAGCCTCGGAAACCCTAAAATAGGCTCACAATGGGTCGGAACCGACTGCGCAGCACCTACCAACAACAGCAACAACTGCAGCAACCAGACTTTCTGGGGCCATGGAGTCTGGAAGAACCCCGGAAACTAGTGCTTGAGATCATCTTTAAACTTGAAACCCAAAATATCCCTTGAAGTCAACTTAAAACCAAACCCCAGTTTAGCTGAACTAGTAGAGACTGTCTGCCTTGAGCACTGTTCTCTTTTAAGCTGTCTCTATGGGAATCCTGGTGTGGCACTGTGGGTTAATGAGCTGGACTGTAGGGTCAGTTTGAACCGCAGGGTCGGTGGTTCAAGTTCACCAGCTGCTCCTTGGAAACCCTATACAGGGTCGCTATGGATTGGAATCGACTCGACGGCACTTAACAACAACATGGGGTCAAACTGGAAATAGCAACTTGAAAGATTACCCAGAAACCACAGGAGGCAGTATGTATTAGTAAGGGAGGAACAACTAGACAAGGAGGGTGAGGTGGAAAAACAGAATCACATCCCTGAACTGTACTTGCAGAAACCACTGAACTGGTTGTCTGGCTGTGTATCTTCTCAACAACAAAACACTAAGTTCACTAGGAAACCATGACACTGGAGCGCGACCCCTCTGTGAGGGAAGGTCGCCCCTTGATCAGAGTGCGGCGGCCTGGCCACTCACCACAAATGGACTGTTGACTTTCTCCAGAATCTGCTTCTCGTTGAGCGCCATGGACTCCCCTTTCCTCTTTTTGATCCTCTTCTTCTCCAAGCGCTTGCAGGCGTACATTTTACCTGTGGCCCGAACCTGGCAGGCGCAGACCTGAGAAGTAGGCAAGAAGCCAGGGCCATGGGGGCTCTGTGGAAGCTGCCTGAAGATCCTCTATGGCCCGGATGCTGGGCACCAGCATTGGGAGCTGATGGGGTCAACAGTGCTCCCAGCACACAGGGCCTGACCACGGATGATAGCCTTCCATCCCCTCCCGGGAGAAGCCTAGCTCTCAACGGTAAGGAGCCTTCAGGAACATGAAGGTTTGTTGAAGACCCACACCAATGTTCAAAGGACTGGCCAGGGCCTAAAGGACCATTTCCCTTGGAGGCAACTGCATTTTCTCTGCCCCAAGCTTTCAACCAAATGCTGCAATTGCTACCTGGAGACTTCCAAGTTCATAGGAGAAGATTCTATAGGGGCAGAGTGTTGGGAGACCCTTGAGCACTCTGCTTTAGTAAGTCAGGGGAATGGGAGTCAGAACTTTTTGGGTCTGGTCTCAGTTACTGTCACCTGGTCATGTGACTGTTCTGAACCCCAGCTTTCCTCTCTCAATTAGGAATACCAAGTTTTGCCTCAGTTTCTGGGACTATTGGAGAAAGCACAAAGAAATCTCTAATCCCATCATCCACATGGCCAGTGGTGGCCAAGGTCAGTCGGTCTCTCACTTCTCCCTCCCTGTCATTTCTGTCTCCCCTTCAGACACGAACCTGCCCAAGGCTAACTCACCTGCTCACCCCACACCAAGCAGCTGAGGGCAGCTCAACATCCCTCCCTTCCCACCAGAGACATAGTTATCAGAGGTCTCTGATCTTTGCTCTCCCTCACCACCTCCAGACCCCCAAATACCCACATCATCTGGGCACATCCATATGCTCAGGAAGGCCTATTCAGAAGGGGCAGAGAAAGCAACTAGACAACTGGAACTTTCCATTGAAAAAAGGTAGAAGTTCACTCACCTCTCCGAAGCCCCCTTTTCCTAGCACTCGGTACTGCCTAAATGTGTTCTTGGTCACTGGTTGCCTGGAAAAAACAACAACAAAAAAACCCCCAAGAATTCAACATTGATCTCATCACATTAAGATTCAGAATCCGTAAGAAAAAGGCAGGTGCAGCAATGAATGTACCTGGCGGGAGGTACAAGTCTATGACCTCCAAAGTGGCCCGTGACATCATGGCGACAGCCAGCCCTTCAAGGACTCACTCTGGAGCTAGGCGACCAAATCCTGCTGACCTACTGATTTCAAGCTTCCCAGCCCTCACAATTATGTAAGCCAATTTCTTAACTTAATGTCTTAATATAGCTGTATAAGGAGATCTGGTAGCGTAGTGGTTACGAATTGGGCTGCGAACTGCAAGGTCAGCAGTTCGAAACTACCAGCTGTTCCGCGGGAGAAAGATGAGGTGTTCTGCTCCCGTAAAGATTTACAGCCTCGGAAACCCTGTATAGGGTCACTATGAGTCGGAACCGACTCCACAGCACATCACAACAACAACAACATATATACTCGTACACACACAGTACCTTTAGTTCTGTATCTCTGGAGAACCCGGACAGAGATTTTAGTATCAAGAGTTGTTCTAGAGAAACAGAACCTCAAGGATAAATCGGTTCTGGACTTTTTCTGGAAATGGCTGTCTAACCTTTCTGGAATTGGCACCAATGACTCTGTATTTCTAGTTGTAAAGAGGGCACTGATAGTCCATGGCATGGTAGGGCAATAAAGAGATGCAAAGCACCACCGCTGGGCTGTTGTTGTTGTTGTCAGGTGCCATCGAGTCGGAACCGACTCATAGCGACCCCATGCACAGCAGAACGAAACAATGTCCGATACTGGGCCAACCTCACTACCGCTG